CATGAGGTCTTCTTCTTTAAAAGCAGAACTCTCTTTTTGATAGCCACATTTTCCTCAAAGGGTACACGTTAAATTGGAGGATATTTTTTAAGGAACCATTATGAATTACTGTCTGTTTTTCTTTTTTCTCATAGCCATGCCAAAATGTGAGGACACAAATTTACCGAAAGCAACAATATGATTTCTTTCTCCGATGTATGTGAATTTTAATTTTTATTTCTCTTACTTCTCTAGGGTCCCTATCTGAGGTTCAACTTGTGTCATCGGGGCCTGGAACTGTAAAACCAGGTCAAAATCTCAATTTGCTGTGTAAAGTTACTGGCGTCTCCATCACTGATGGTAGCTATGATTGGCACTGGATCCGTCAGCCTCCAGGGAAAGGCTTAGAATGGATAGCCAGAATCTACCCCAAAGATGGGAGAAAATGGTACTCATCTTCTCTTCAAAGCCGCACCACCATTTCTTCAGACAATCCTAAGAATGAATATTCCCTTCAGCTGAACTCCTTGTCAGCTTCTGACACTGCCGTGTATTATTGTGCAAGACAGGCACACTGACAGATTTTGCCTTCTCTTCTGAACAAAAACAGGAAACTGATTCTGACAGGGCATTTCTCTTTATGCAGCAGATCAGCATTCAGAGAGTGAAACCATTTGAATTCTTAGAGTAACGTCTCCCAGAAGAACATTTTTTAAAAATGTACTTAGCCATTGATATGTTTAATGAAAGTTTGATGTAAAGAAGGACTAGTGGTGACGTGATAGCAGTTTCAATATCTCAGAGGCTGCCACAAATAAGGGGAAGTCAAGCTACTCTCCAGGGCAGGACAAGAAGTAATGGAGGGAACCAATCAAAGAGAGAACCAACCTGTAACTAAAGATAAATTTGTTGACATTAGAACAATTAATCTCTATTAGGCGCCAAAAATTGTGGGTGCTCCAACACAGGAAGTTTTTAAGAATAGATTGGATAACCCTTTCTCTGAAATGTTAAATGGGCTCCTGCTTGAGCAGAGGGTTGGACTAGAAGACCTTCATGGTCCTTTCCAATTCTGTTATTCCATTACTCTATTAAGTTCAGCTGAAGCAGATTATGACAAACCACATTCTATCCAAAAGATCTTTTCAGTTACAATGAATTATATCTGTTTATTCATTTGAACCTTAATAAAATGTAACAGTAATTGCGTCTTGATGGCTTAGAAATGACATATTATTGTTCATATTTGTCCAGGTAGAAATAAGACAAAGTTTGGATCATAATGTCCTTAATGAAAAATAAAAAGAAACAGAAAATGGATTAAATTTACAATTTTGCCCTGGTCTTTCTTTCTTTCTTTCTTTCTTTCTTTCTTTCTTTCTTTCTTTCTTTCTTTCTTTCTTTTTATTCTCCTCCCTTATTTTTGGTATCTGATTTCCCTTTACTCCTGTTGCTGAACACACTTAATGAAACATAAAAGGAAGCAGAAAATGTATTACATTTTCCCCCTGGTATTTATTTATTCTTTCATTCCTTCCCTCCTTTTTCCCTTCTTTCCTTTTTCCCCTTCTTTTCTTTCTTTCTTTCTTTCTTTCTTTCCCCCCTCTTTTTAGCCCTTCCTTCTTACCTTCCTACCTCTTCCTTTTCTCCTTCCTTCCTTCCTTCCTTCCTTCCTTCCTTCCTTCCTTCCTTCTCTCTCTACTTCCTTATT